TAGATGTATTCATGTGAGTAAGATTTAAATTACCTGGTCTTTATGAAGAGAACAGTAATACATAGGCCATTTTGTGTCACAAATGACAACAATGCTGTACAACAAACTGCAGATATGTGTCAATTTGTGTCCACCAATTTCAAAAGATGAAAGGAACAAAATCACCCACTAATTTCAGTGGATTTTGGTTGGGATTTCTCCTGATAAAGCCAGGTTTAGGTTTATTACACTGAATACCAAAAATTAAGTTGTTTAAAAGACACTAAACAAAGAGGGTAGCAAAGGTTAGGAGGAAAAAAAAGAAAAAAGCAACCAAATTAAAACATACCCACAAACCATCCATCATCACATTTTTCCATCACATCAATGACATCTCCCTCTCTGAGCTCCAATTCATCTTCGTTCCTAGGAGTATAGTTATATAGAGCCTGAAACCTTAAATAGGACAAATGATGTATTTTAAAAAGAAGTAAGAGTTCCTTGCACCTTTGCTGAAGTAAAGGAGCTGGCTTAAACATTAACTAACAAGTAACACTTCTTGCAAATAGAGGGGAAAAGGATTTATTTTGCCTGATGGACTTGAGAGTTAAGAATTTACAGTAAATTAAAAAAAACTTCATTGGAAAGATCTGACACTAAAGACTGGGTTTGCTCCTCAACCAGTGGCTTTGAAAATAGATTTATTTTTTTAGCATTATTTTATAGTTGAGTCACCAAAACTGAGGACTACTAGAGGGGAGCCTACAGATGTATTGGCACTGTAACCCTCCATGATCAGCATCTGAAACTGTGGCTCTGACCTTAAGCTTTCTGAAGCAAGTACCACCAGCACAAGTGAGGTGTCTGTGGAGGAGGGTGCCCAGGACAGCACCTCACACACACTGTCACTGTAACTGAGGGACCTCCCTGAGCTCCTCAGCTGCAAGTGGTGTGGCAAGCCTTTGCTCTGACATAAAAGAGGTGCCCTCCTCTATGGAGAAGGTGGAGCATAATTGCTATTTGGAAACATACAGGGGTAACCTGTTCCCTGGTTAAAGAGGTTTGAATCAAATCAGGAGACAAATGCATAGAAACTCAAACAGTATTCAGACACTGATCTGTGTCTCCACCCCTGGCCAGGAGCTGCAGTTTGCAGATGTTAGCGGATAAATGGAAAGAGGTATGAGATTCCTTGACAACTTTTAATGGAGGTTTTTTGAATTGAAAGAATGGCAATAAACTCTCACTAGGGGGAACTGAAGGCACTTGGGCTGACAGCCCACAGAAAGATTGCTGCACAAGCCTGTGAGTCCTGCAGAGTCAGAATCTGCTTTTTTTTTTTTTTGTAAGCAACTGTGCCCCACATATGACTGACTGCATATAAAGAAGCAGGGTACAACTGCAGAAATTGTACAAAGGAAATAGTTTTAATTTCAAAATACTGAAACAAAACATAATCACATCCATTCCTTCCCTCTTAACAACAGTTCACTAAGTTTTAAACCTTAATGCCATTACACTTCCCCCAATAAAAGCAAAATAGCTTGCCAGTTGATGTGTTGGTACAGAGTATTTCATTTAGCTCTGTATCATTCCAGCAGTTTTCATGGCTTAAATGAGATGTTTATTTTAGTAAAAAATTGATGTTCCTGAAAGTCCAACTTGAAAATCCTACATATAGAGTGGTGCTAGGTTTAGTTTAATGATAGTCTTCTTGACTAAACTACACTTATTTTTCACATTGCTGCTTTGGACAAAAAATGAAGATACTGTTCCAAGAAAATAAAGATTTTAACTTAATATCTCACGACTGGCAGTTATCTCCCCAAGTCTGAAAAGTCTATTTTTATATTTTAATCGCACTAACAAAATGGAACAAAACTAGTTGTTTAAGCAATTACCTCTGGTAATTTGTGCAGCAGGAGTAACAACAATCTGTGCAAAAACCTAAGTGGCAATAACAGTTTCTGTTATGCTTATCATCATTCCAGGAAAGCAGAGCTATGATGATATTCCAAAAAATTATTAAATGCAGCTTCCAAGGGGACAGGAGTTGCAGATCTAATGTATCATGAATAGGATTCAAGCCAATTACTTACTCAAGTACAGTAACAAGGATGTCCCAATTAGCACTCCTTGTACTTTTGAAATGGAATCTTAGTAATTTCCAGATAATCCATTTTAGTAACTCGAGTGTATTAATTTCATTCTCTCTGTGCTAATCTAAGACTTTCTTAAGTATGAAAACTCTACTATCATTAACAACACTGACAGAATACATATTCAAAGCAAAGAATGGTTGGTTGGCAATTTAAATATATTTCTATTTTTAATTTTAGGAATAAATAACTTTAGTCATGAACTACTTAAACAATATTGAACAAAATGAAATGGAAAATTATTGCTTACAAAACTGAGTTAGGTGCTTCAGTATGTTCAACAATACCAACAGGAGCTTGTAGTTTCAGTGAGATTAAAACTAAAACATCCTATTTTAATTATATATTATCTGTGGCATAGCTGTTTGGTAACTTTTTGCCACTCTCTTCTGTCTTCAAGTGACTAATAGGTAAACTTTGAAATATTTTTAGATGTTAAGCCTTAGCTACATTTATGAGAAATTATCTAATAGGGTATATGCTGAAGTGCTCTGATGCTAGAGGAAGAATGGCTATTGAAACAGGATCATTTAAACAGGACCCAAATGCAAGACTTGAGGAAAAAAAAATCTTGAAACAATCTTGCACTGAACTTGCATTTTAACAGTCAGCACTGAAATATCCCAAGCATTTAAACTGTTTGTGAAAATAAGACTTGAGATCTAGGTTCTTCTGCAGTTTTCAGAAACGTTTTTCTGTATCTCATATTTGAATTGCACTTGTAAATCACACCAAAAAGTGTGAGCATGTGTTCCTGTGATCAAGATATTGAGGTTTTTTTTTTTCTCTATTCACATCCAGAACTGTTTCTGAATAATTTGCTTCAAGTCAGTAAAGCAGATGAGTTGAATCAATGTTAAATCTTAAACTGTCATTCTGCTGAGATGTAAAAATGGAGAGAATAAAGAAGAGTCAAATTTTACTTTTAAAAAATTATTACTCCTTTTAAGTATAGATGATGGGAAACTGTAAGTTGTCATGTCTGTCTGCATTTAATGTAAATTAAACAACTAAGGCTTTGCCCTCTGGGACCTTCCTGGATATCTTCCTACATAATGCATTTTTCTGTAAATAATCTCTGAAATGTCTTCATAATTGTACTTGGCAAGTTAACAAATTATCTGATGATGTGATGGCTATTGCTTAAATGCTAGGTTTTGGTTTAATAGACAATAAGTATACTTACGGTTCCCCCCCACCGTGTATGTTTTCATGAGAAAGCAGAGGGCGCTGTGGCTGAAATGAAATGATTTGAAATGTAATAAAGATTTGCAGTTTAAGGTCCAAATAGTTGGATAAGGGTGTGACACACAGTTGCTCAAGAGTTCATATTCTACCTTGTGTAAAACAACGGCCCATTCTGTTCCCCCTCCAATAAATTCTTAAGAGACATGACAAACAACTAAATCTTGGCAGGTTTAAAGATCTGATTTTCGGAGGCCATAATAAAAACTAAACAAACTGTGAACTTTATCAGTCCATTCTATTTATAGTACAGTATAAAGTTGGAATAGAACACTTCAACCTCTTCACAGTGAAACAGAAATAACATTAGAAAAATCAGATGCAACGGCTGAACATCATACATTCTTTGCATGAAGTATATTTTTAGATAAGCAGAAAAAAAATCTCCTATACTTAATGGCAGAATCCAGAATATTGATAGACAAAAACCATACCAATTTACATTACACACACACAGAGTACTAACTTGGCAGGCATAACATGCTATGCTTTAATTACTTCTGTTTCATCTCAAGCCATGCAGGCTGTTGGGAGTCAAAGAACAAAAAGAATACATTTAATTGTGTGAAAATAACAATTAACACTTTTACTTCAGCAGAAAAAGTAGTTTGTATTTCCAGTGCAAAGCTTTATGAAAGGAACTATGTTCCTTCTTAATGGAGCATTACCCACCACTAATATTCAATAAATCTGGATGCAATGGAAATGAAAAATATTAACCTCCTACAGAAACCATATCCTGCTTAGAAAGTCATTGACTTATACTGATTCGAATCTGGCTGGGGCCAGAAACAATGCAGGAGCAGCTGCTTGGGAAAGCTCTTGATGTGAACGGGGATCATATTTGCTGATGACTGAGGATGCCTTATGGTCATGATGTAGAGACAAGTCTGGGAACCATATCTGTTTTAGAAGTGTGGATATCAAATATTACTCATAGCACTTTCTTTCATGAATTGAGCAAACTGTAACCTGATCTTTAAGCCATGGAATTTGTCTTATTGCCCCATGATTCTCACTTGGTTTGCTTATTTCAGTTCACTCTTGAAGATGATAGAGTCTTCAATGAGAGAAGGCAGCAGTAAACAGCCCAGAGTCTGATAAAAGAAACTGAATAGAAGAACACTCTACGTAGTTTGTTTTTTGTTTGTTTTTCTCCCTTTTCGCTCTCGACATCTCCAGAAGAAATTAAAGAAGTTAAATTTCTTTTCATCAGTTTGTATATGTATATGCAGAAAATATTGTGATCAGTCTACACTTTATCTTTACAGTCTATGGAGTGTAACTTTTAAAAGGTTCCTAAAGATGCAGGCAGGAGGATTATAGACTTTTAATTTGTATTATGGAATGCTAAGTGGGAAAGAGGTTTTCAAAGTAAAGAAACAGACTCTATACTCTTTACTGTCTTCTCTCCCTCATTTAACTCTCCTCTGCCGGTGTACAAAAAGTTGTGTAATTTTTACCAAAGAATCCAACAGTAAAGATTGTAAATTAAACAGCTCTTAGTAAACCTCTTTCAATGGCTGGCTTGTCAAACAAGAAGAAAATAGTCCATTGGGCAGAATGCTTTGTATTTAGACTGGAATCTGACCTTATTTTCTGCTAATCTTTCATCAGGTCTGTAACTGAGCAGTCTGCCACAGATAGTCAGAGATGCAAAAGAACTCAATTGAGGTTAAGGATTTTTCCTAAAATGAAAGTCAATGTCCTAAAGAATGCTACAAATGATACAATGCTTCGAACATAATACCAAGACAGGAAGAAACTGGGTAGGTCAGTATTATCTTCTTTTTCTGCATATGCTTCATAAAATGAATTAACTACTGTAGAAACAGATAATAAAAAAGAAGGTGACTAAAGATTTTCAACTATATGTTATTGCCACAGAGAAAACTTGGACAAAATTACAATCTTGTGAAAATAGGGTGAAGTAAATGGTGGTATGTCTGAAGAGGGGGACCTTGGAGCTCACTCTCTACTTGAATACATTCCACAATAATACCCCAGCCGACATCCAGAAGCTTTCTCCCTGTTTTCTTTCCCTAAGCTCTCATTCCCATATACAGTTACATTAGCTAGATAGGGGACTGTTGCAAAGACTGTTTCTAGTTTTCAACTACTCCTCAGTTTACTGGAATATCCTGTTTCCTGGAAAATACTGCAGGATCTAATCCCAAAAACATTAAATCTGCAATCAAGTCAATGGTCCCAGTTGTATCCCTGATTTTCATGCATGATTAATACGCACTTGCATATATTAGTTCTGTACAGTCCTGAGCATGCAAATCAGGTCCATGATTTGTGTTCTTGTAGTTTTGGAATTAAAGTAATAAATACATTACACATTGACCAGTACACTTCTCTTAACATACTGGTTACATGTCATTAATCTGGAGGAACATGCAAAATTAATATAGGGCTTAATCCCTTTTTTATGGATCTCACTCCTAGTTGGACTTTCTGTGAGATGGTGTTGGTCCACTACTACAAGAATCCTGGCCTTCCTATCTGTGATTGAACTGTTTTCTTCATTGATGAGAAAAGCACTGTCCTTTCATACCTGGTAGTAAACATAGGCTTGCCAAAAAGCCAAGCTTTAAAAGTTACACAAACCTGCATATCTTAAACTAAAATTCAAATTTTAAAAACGGAGCCACCAGAAAGATGATCACCAAAAATCAGCAGGAACAGTGTGGAAAACAGTTATTAACTGCTTTAAGAGCCATATGTTAAGAAATCAATGCAAAGAATAATTCAGTCCTAAAATGAAAGTAACCCATAAATTCTCATTCTCACAATAGTTTAGGTTGTGTGGAGTTTTTTTCCTTTTTTTTTTTTTTTTCTTTCCATAGTGCAGATCACCTTTTTGAGGAAAGTCCATGCAAACCCTAAACCACCTGACTTTCTGGCTAGGTAAAAATGTTACAGTTATGTTACAGATAGGAAGGGAAAGGTTAAAAGGTATAAAAGGCTGGAATGACACTGCTTGGATAAAGAGAACAGTATTGAGTGAACATCATACCACAGCAAAAAAGCATTTTGAAAAATAAGGACATGGATTCAAACCTAAGAATTCAGTCCATATACATGCAATGAGTATAAATTTTTGACTCTTGGAAGCTGTAATTTTAATAAACTAGAAATGCTTTGAAAGAGAGGTAATAAAACCAGACTAAATATAAAGAGCTTTGATCTCTTACATCTTGTAGCACTGGAAATACCATGCAGTACTGCAGAGATACAATATGCTAATGGATTTATATAATGAGTTTTGGCACACACAGACCTGTTGCCTTTACTCAGACATAGCACAGCACAACAGGAAGAAAACAGAGCATACTGATAGTATTGAGACACTTGGGCAAAAGCAAAATACTGCTAGACACTGAGCTCCTTGTCCATGGAAATGCTGTTATTGCACACTGGGCATCCAGTACCATACCCTGTGTGAATAGCTGTGACCTCTGACAGGTGAGCTGCAGGATCTCTTAGACATCACTGGGCTACGAGGAGGTTTACCCATAACAAATCTCTCTCTCTTTAAATTAGCCTAGAAGAACCACAAAAACTGTGTCAAGTGAGAGTTTAAGAATGAAGCATCATGGGATTTTTGTTGCTTCATTCATACATGCAAACCCAACATGCTTTTCTTGATAACAAAAAGCAATGAGTTACAGGTAGAAATAGGTACTATTAGTACACAGTATTTCTATTGTTGCCACTGTATCTTTTTTCCTGCTGCTCTGGCACATGCCCTTACATGTAACAGTTATTCCACATGTATCCCTGAAATAGCTTAGTTGGTAACACAGAAAAGCTCAGCAGTATACAACAAATGTTGTAATTCCTTGCTGTTAAACAGAACACTTCCCTTAAATTCGCATTGAGAAAGCAAGTAAATACTTGGTGGAAAGTACTTCAAGAAAATATCCTCGTTTTGTTAGCATCACTACAAATCAGAAAAATATTTGTCAGAATTCAGTTCTTAAGGGGTGTGTGTTTAGCAAATGTGAATTCTCAGGGGCAGGGGTGAGCTGGGGGGAATGTGAGGGGAGTGGAGTGATGATATTGAAAACCTTTTCTTTGGTATTTGTGACTGTTTGTCATCAGAGTGTGACAGGATTGAAAAACAGCCTCCTTTTAGGAGAGGGGTGAATAACAATACCAGCAACAACAACAACAAAAAAGGATACCAAAAGAGGCCAAGGAGATAGAAAAATGTCAGCATTTCTCCTTGGGACATGTCTTCAGAATTCTTCTTTTGGAGGATATCCTCCCACCAACATGGTGCAATGTGACATTTCCCACCCATAGCTCCTTGCATTCCATTGTCCAAATTCCTGGTCATGCTTTAGACTTGAGCCACGTTCCAAATATATTTATGTACACACATATACGTATGTATACATATGTATTTTTACATCAACAAAAATTACAAAAGTACCAGTATACAGCTTCAAGAACTCTCTGAAGAACCTCCCTTCACTTGTGAAATTTGAGTCCTCTAAATATCTTGTGTTCTTTCTGCTGTGGCAGTACAGACCAGACCTTAATGATGGGCAACATGCATAAAGAGAAGAGGATAGGAACTATCCTGTCTTCTCAAGCCCCACCTGGCAACTAAGTAGCAAGAAATGATACCAGCCAAAACCTGCTTACACTTATTTTAATCCAACTCTCTATCCTGGCAATGCAGTCAGTGTTGACTGCTGAAAAAAGTTTGCCTACTCTTCGGAGAAAAAGATTTATCTCATTTTAGAAATACTGTACAAAAAAATCTGCCATTGGTAAGAGTGCATCTAATAATTTTGAAATTTTTCAAATAGGTAAGTATACACTGATTAAGTTTATAAAGGAATCTGTTCCTGGGATTTAAAAAATAATCCAGATTTGAAATGGTTTGAAAACAATAATTAAAACCGAGTACTCTCTAACAAGACCCCAGACCTTCCATTCTTCTGGGTACTTGAGCTCTTGTGTCTGTAAGATGGAATCATCCCCCTTGGTTAATTAATGTCTTGCCTCCTTGTCCATTTAAGAGCAATACACTGCCTAGGAGGTTCCCTGGGGCAGATATTTTAACTCTCAAAACAAATATTTCTTCTGTTTATTTTCAGCTGGGATTAACATACCTTGCTCAAACAAGGGCAAAGAATATGAGGGTCACCTAAAAAGAATTTCAGTGTAGGTGAGGAATTTTCTGAATTTTGCTCCTTAGGCTAAGCAAAAGCATCAAAAGCACTGCGCCAACTGATAAATTATTAAAAGTTGCAAAAACAAGTGTAGTACTCTGTTTTACTTTTTCTTTGAGGTGGAATGTACCTAAGTCCATGACAGATTCATACCCGGGAAAGAAGCCTTATGTCTCTTCCCTATATCCAAAAAACCCCAATAGATCTGGTGGATCTTAAGATTTCCTTAAGTCCATTATGTCTGTGTTTTCTGTGAATGCACGTTGTAAGACAGGATGGAGTAAAAAAAAAATCACCAAAAAACCCAAAAAAGGCAGGATTTCTGGCACAGATGTAATGATCAGCCTTCTAGGATAGTTTCTTTTTCCATGACATTTTCCTCTTTTCATGAGCAAATGAACTCCCTGGAAGTCAGCACTGGAAATTAACTGTCTACCTAGAGCAACTCTTCAGTTCTCATATTTCTGCCACAGAGCTGCAATACTGGCACAAACTGTAATCCTGAAGAGGGAATAATCTTTGTCCAGTCCTTGACTAACAGAATTGGTATTTAGAACATGACTCTGCAGTGATGCTTTACTGTGAAATTTATGACTCTTCTTCCAGGCATTGCCTTGAAACTGAAAACACAAACATTACCTAGTTTCTGCATACTTGAATACAATTCAGTTCCGTTCCATTAAATGAGTTACTCTGTTGTCCTGGTATTGACTGGAAATTGAGTTGAAGCTTTCTGCTTCCCTGTCAGTGGTATCTCCTTAAGCCATTTCATTGTATCATAATAGTTATAGTTTTACCTTGTTTCATTTGAAGAAGGCCTATTTTAATACTCCACGTGTTATGTTATTTAATATTAGTAAACAAAACAATACATCTGAAAAGATCAAACTCAGTGTTAGCCTTGCAGTTATTTAATATACATGAAGATTTGCAACAATCCATAATCAAGAGGTGCAGTTACCTTTAACTGTGGTGAGTCTTTCTCCTGCTGATGTAACGGTTTAGAGAGGAGGGGAGGTGGGAGGGAAGCAATAGACAGGTATGTTGTAGGAACGGAGTGGAAAATAGGTGTCTTGGCAGAGTGAAGTGGAAGATTAGAAGAAAGGTGGAAAGGAGGATCAGACTCTTCTGATGTTCCCACAAAAAGTAGAGCTGGCTTAAATGTTTAAGAAAAATGAGAAGTTGCGCTATAAAACCAGCTGTGAAGGATGTCAAATGCTCAATAAGGAGACATGTAACTAATCTGAACAATCACAAATGTCATGCTAATTTTATTATTAGTCAGTCTACATTTCTGGAAGAGATTTCTTTTCTCAGAAATCACAAAAATGTTGCCATTTGTGGCCATGGATTTCACCTCTATTCTTACATTTTTCTCCTGTGTTTTTCAGGTCAAATAAGGGTAGAGGTAGCCTGCAAAATCTTTCTAATTAACTAGTTTTACACTGGGCCAAAAACATACTGTCCTAAGCATCTGATTTGCATGTTGACAGCCAAAGCAACTGCCTGAACAGTCTGTTGAAGTGCTGGACAGAAAAAAAGTCTGTTCTAAAACTTTGCCTAGAAACCACACAAATAGCGGTATTGTGGCATTTAATGGCCAGCACACATTTGGGATAGTTCAGTGATATGCTGTCCCAAAGAGGAACTGGGGAGGGTTTCAGGAGGAAGCATTTGTCTAACTGCCAAACATAATCTGATCCGTTATTATTAGTCACATTCTCGTAACAGAGCCTGCTATAAATATATCAGCTGGTGAAGTGACACATGTGAAGCACAAACCGCAGGGTCTCTGAAGGAGGCATGTCCCTCCCTCTGGAGAATTGGGGCCTTCTGGCTCAAAAGGGGCAGCATGTAATGGGACAGTGAGGAAAATCGTTCACTGGCTTTTTACATCAGAAGCTCAATGGCAACCAACAAGGACAGAAGGATCAGCACAACTGATACACTACATAATTTACAGCAGTGCATATACTTGCTTCTGAGAAGGGACTATCCCTTAACACTGACAATTTTTAATCATAGAATGGTTTCGGTTCAAAGGGACCTTAGTGCCTAGTTCCAACCTCCCTGCCATGGGCCGAGACACCTTTCACTAGACCAGGTTGCTCAGAGTTAAATTTTATTGAATGTAATTGCATAAAGCTGTGCCTGTGCATGATACAAACATGTAAATATAAGAAAAGGCAGAGAATATTTATACTAAGTTATCTGAATAGAGAACCCAGGTATTTCAGAAATTAAAATACCTTATCAATATTTGGTGAATTGTATCCTTCATAATAATCCATAGAGCCTCCTCCACTTGCTACTGGGAATTCTAAACTGTCATGTACCAGATCCTCCTCTATATAGAGTCTTGTCAGTTCTTCTGTTGTGTCTTGTTCTCCTCCGTAGAAATCTGATTCTTGAGGCTTTGACTGATCCCCTATATTAAGTGATAGATCTGCAGTAAAGATTTCTTCTTCATTTTCAGCAGTTGTAGCTAGCACTCTGGACATGGAACCACCTTCATATGGTGAAGGGATGTTATGGATAGCGCCAACATGTTCACCTTCTCTTGTAGTATCTAACAAGTCTCTAGGTACTTCAATAACTAAAGGGTCAATTATACCTCTCAAGTCTTTATCTTTTCCTGATTTGGTATTGTTGCTGACATGCTTATATGCTATGGCATGAGATGAGCTGGCTGAAGATGATACAGAGGTAGATACAAGAAAGGACGGAGGAAGAGCTGTAGAAGAGCTGAGAGACGCTTCTGTATTTGGAATAATGTGACCATCCTTAACTTGGTGAATGCGATTACCTGGGGATATTGCTACAGTTTGAGAGGCTGACAATGCCAAAGAATTGAGTTCTTCTAAGTCACAAAGAAAACTGCCTGGAACTGATGGAGAAGTTAAGTTGCATGTGCTTGAAGGCGAAACACCAACAGTCCTTGAAAACAAGTCACTAGTGGCAGCCTGGAGAATCTTTTGATCAATGTGTGACCAAGAGGAGGAAAGCTGTGGGGACAGTGCTTGGGAAGGCAACTTCAAAAATAAGAACAACATGGGAATTCAAATAAATAAGCATGATAGAGAATTAGGATATATGTAAATTGAAAAAGAAAAATGTCTGTGTGATCATCTGGATTACAGGGTACAATTTCAGTGACCATGGGTGTCTGAAATCACTACTACATGAATCAGAACAGCAGGAAAGACATTTGAAACATGAAACTGTATCAGGTTTTGGCTTGAGGCATAAATGTCAGGCATTAAGACAGAACTGAATCATTACATTCATGAAGGCAACTTGCATTTGATCTGCTAAAGTTATGTTATTTATGGTGCTCTGTTAGTGAGCCTGTCACAGGTTATTAAATCATACAATTAATATTAACAAATTTTTCCCTGAACCATTACTATTATTTTGAGAATAGCAATTGCAGAAGTACATTTCAGGTGTCATTAAGTATTTCTTTTAAAGTATAAAAACTGAGGTGATTTCCAATTATTCAAATTTATACTCCTACTTTTTCTTAATATTTCTGGGTAAATGTTTAAGAAACATCTTTAATGTATTGCATACTTTTATTAAGGCATGAACAGCTACAGAATGCATTTTTTTTCAAAAGTAACCTTAGTTCAAAAATGACATCAACATTTGTGAAAGGTACATTCAATTCAAACTGAATGTAGGCAGTCAACAATGCTTTTAAAATAGTGACAGCACAGTATGCAGCAGTATATTTTGAGTGTCTTTACACAATATTGATTGAAGTATCCTTCTGGTAAAAGAAACGTCCTTTTCTAAGAATGAGAGACTGGTGAGTCATACGTACACAGCATCAGTAGATATCCATTGCTTCAGTAAATACTGAAAATGCATTTTTGTTACTATTAACCCTCAAAATTAAAACTGAGTGAAAAATATTTTGATCTTATTGTTACAACTATCCAGAATAATTAGATGTAATCTCCAAGTTATCTGGACTACTGGAGACTTTAAGTATTAATGTGCTATTTCAAAAGTCTAAATTCATGTCGCAGAATAGGAAGGTTAATTTACTTACCTTCTGCTTGAGTTTTCTTGAGGCAAATAGCTTTATTTTATAGTTAGACAACCTTTGTTACAGAGTCTTCTGTAACAAAGTAAACAGTATAGACTGATACAACACAGCCTGCTAAAACAGAGCTAGGCTGTTACAAGCAATACTCAGTCTCTTTCTCTCATCTTTCCTCTCAAACAAGAGCCTCTAACATATGGTATTAAGGTCAATAATAATGCAGAAGAGACATTGCCATTTTTTAGTTTCCCATGGCTACAAGCTGCACTAGGTCTAAAGATACAGATGGACTAGGCAAAGTCAGGGACAGCAAAACTTGCTCCTGACTTGTATTGCTTATTTATTTTATTGCCATTAGGCCAGAGAACTTTAGTGCAATTGCTCTAGCAATCTAGTGATATGTGGTAAGAAACTCCAAAGGAATAGGAAAAGTGGTATCAGTAAGTGTAGTGAACTCCAGAACACCTTAAGGGCTCCTGAAGTTCTTCTGGGTAGTCAGGAACAACATGTCTTTTTACATGGTATTGCCATTTCTGAATACAGTTTAATTCAGAAACAAGATGTCTGTCTAAGAGTTTCAGCAGAAGCTTGGAGGTTTTTCTTTAAACTTATGCTAGAACCCAATGATGGCATGTTACAAGGAAGGCTTCTTCCAATTTAGTCCCCTACAGAACTAATTTATTAATAATTAAATAATAGTGGCAGCATAATATGGATATAAATGCTCTAAAGCATCACCTATGCTCAACAAGGGTTATGTGGGTTACACAAACGCCAGCTTTAGCTGCAGGACACCTTAGAGACAAGCCTGCTCCGTAGAAAATGGGGAGAAGCACTTCTGAACACAGAGAGACATCTCCAGAATATGGAGCACCTAAGCTGCCTCCTACTCTTGATTTGCCCTCAGGTACCTCTGGGTTCCTATAAGAATAATGGGCCCTAGCTTATCAATACCTCAGCTGGCAGGTACAGAATTTTATGCCACTTCAACAGTTTTGTTGGAATGGAAGAGAGAGGATCTAGTTCTCTGTTGTGAGATGTTCTGGAAAACCAGACGAGACCTGTTCTAGCAACTGTCCCAAACCAGCTAATACTGTTTAGTCATAAGCAATATTTTCAGAGGCCGCTGTTGCCTATAAATGACATTTTTGGTAGCTTTTTACAACCCCGAAGTTGTAAATAAGTGTGGAACTTATTTCAAAGTTGAAGCATGTAAATGAGCACCAGTATTCAAACATAGAAAAGGGGACAAAATCAACTGAAACAGAGATTAATAGCAGGATAAGATGTTTATAATTACACACAAAACCCACTGCCCAATGCTGAAGAGATAAAGAACAAAGGTAAAGGGGAAGATTTAGAAAATTTTCCATCTCGAGCTTTCAAAATCATCAATACTATGTTAATGCTAATCACAGTTTGTATGCAGAAACTGCCTTAGTTTCTGTCACTGCCAAAGATGTTATGCTCCCTGCACAGGTGACTGTGAAATCTCACAAGTGAATGATAAATAGTAACACAGGAATCTCTCTGCAACATCCTGTAGTTACCACTTGTGGTGGTTATCTAGACTAGGAAGGAAAACAATTCAGAACCTACGACACACATTTGGTGTGAAAAACGAAAACTTTAAAGGTCTGAATCCAAGTTCATTGACAATGTGATGACAATCACTTTACTCCTAAATGAAACAATACTGTCACTGTTGTCCCACCCCAAAGAATGTAACAACAGCCTCCTTGTTGACTGTAAATGGCGAAAATAGGAAGGTTTTACTACAGAATCACTAACAATTTTTTTGACTTTGAAAGGTACAGAACTGATCTTGGCAAGCTGTGTCCTGCATGCTCATGCGACTGTAGGCTTTTAGTACAGCTGTGTTATGGGAATGTCTTCACACTGCACTAGGAAAAGTCTACTAGATATATACTTAATGCTCAAATTCTTGCTAAGATTCCCAAATAAATTTTTTTTGTTGACTTGATTTTTCTGCCTAAATTTTGCCTAGCCCTACTCTCAGTAACATAACAGCTAAGAAGAAAAGACCATAAATCCTGGCAGAATGTAAGACACACACTTGGCTATTAAAATACTTTATTAATAAGACAGTCATGCAATTCTACCTATGCAGCAAAGAAAATATAGTATGTTTAATGCCTAAGTTATGTACTGTATTAAAAAAAAATCACAAGTCCTTTTAAACCCACTCTAGGGGTGACGGCAAAGAAAAAAAATCCTTACCTTAGTTGAACTTAAATGGTGTATTCTGTCACTAGAATAGCTTTGGGGGATCGGAGGATCAGGATAGTCATCAACACTTTTTGATGCATTCTTTTTTATGACTTCTACATAGGAAACAGGGAAGATGCCTTGTCTGTTGGTTCCTGGTATTTTACCTTCATACCAGTTTTGATCAACTCGCTTGAGAAGAATTACTCTGTCTCCCTGAAATGCATTATGAAAACGAATTATCAGCACATACATTGTAAGCATATTTTGTGAATAGAAGGTATTATTTTAACACATAGTATCATTTTCCCTGCAGTGCAGTTTCCCATCAGTCTTGAGCATCACCTCCATTTCCACATTTCTACTCCCATTTATAATAACTACGTATAAAACTACCAGCAAAATTCCAGCAAAATGAGGTGCTAGTCACGGACTAAAATGCTATTCTTTTATCATAGGGGAATCTCATGTAGTGTCCTACTCTTGGTTGGGAGAATAACATTAACACTTTTCTTTGGAGCATAACCTATTTTAATTCCTGGCAAAACTACCAGCTAACACCCTAACTGTAATATGCAACAGTGACTGTTATGCCCATTTTTCCTTCCAAGTGATGAAAGTTAAACAATAAAACCCATGCAAGTGCTTTGTTGTCAGTAAAACTGAAATAAGTGGAGGTAGAAAGCTAAAAAATGAGTCCATATGAGAGAAAGAAGTGCTTTTCCTGGGCAGTGGCTCAGTTTAGTTTTAGAGAGCTCAGTAACTGAAATGGAAAACATCAACTTTCTACTCAATCTTTCTCTGTAGTGAAACTTCATGAGCTACCCCCTTCTTTGTTTCACATGATGTGCTTTTTATCACATGCCTTTTTGTAACAAATCCTTCCCTATTAATTTTGCATTTTCTTGAGTTTCTTTAATTTTGTTTCTGTAGCTGATAGGTGGAATTCACTAAACCTATCTTTAGTGAGATGGAACAAAAGAAAACCAGTGCAAGGTAACTTTTCAAAAAACCCCCAGATTTGCCTGTCAAGATTATGACTACCACAATAAACACAGAAGGTAATTTTAAAAAGAAATAAATTACCAAATTACTCCCAACCCATAATTTCTCTAAGTTCCTATTCTTGATTTTTTTTTTACACCTCTTTGACATTTACTAATTTCTAATGAGTAAAAAACACTCGTTATTTTCAGTAATGCTGGATTAAGCTCTAGGTCAGCAACAACTAACCATATTCTTATTTTATTTCAAAAGAAAAATAAAGCTTTTCTGAACTCTAATTCTTTAAAAAACCCAAACGTATGAGGCAGAACTTCCCAGTGGATAAGAAGTACATACTACTTACACCTGAGTATTTAATATCTGCAATAATCAAGTTTCTCTATAGTGGTGATATTCCAGTGTCTCACAAACTTCAGAAATTAAACAGTTATTTTGCTTATGTGCAATACAGTGTAACTACCAGGATGTGCATAGGAATGGCAATAAAATGTTATAAAAAGCAGACTGTTATTAAATGAAATATTTGCAAGAACTGATACATTCACAAAAAAATCTCTGAGCCTTTTTTCTGTATCTTTTATCTTCTGTAATTTTTTATTTATTCTAGATTCATAATAATAGTGACAGCCAGGAATAATTATTAAAAAAAAGGAATGGATAATTGAAGAGAAAACTTGATATTTACGTGGCCAGTTAACAGATGATTGCATATGCTAATCTACCACAATCCAATTTACATGCACAACACATTTATGCTATTTTCAGGCAGCTGAGAAAGACTGTTAGCCAACAAGCTATTATGTTAGTAGTTTCCTACCATGACATTGCTTTGTGCATGGCAAATTATGAATGGTGAGTGCACCAAAGCACAGTATTGATTTGGTGTAGCAGTAGACACTTTCATGGTGTTTTGATGGAAGATAGTTCTAAACTGTACCTTTCTAAGTGATAACTCCACATTTGTGTCTGCACTGAAATTGTATTTGGCAACAGCTTCTCCAATCTCTCCAATTTGTGCAGGGGGAGGGGGCCTGGCAGGCTGTGCTTTTTCTGGAGGAGACAGTTTCTAAGGAAAAAGAAAACCCACAGATTTTCATCATTTTCATGTGGTTTGTGGACTTATTACCCAAATTAATTAAAGGAATTAAAACAGAGAACAAACCTCAACATAAGAAATTGGGAATATTCCAACTCTTCCGTGGTGCTCACCCTCATACCAGTTTTGATCAATTTTCCTGAGGATATAGACAGTATCTCCTTTCTTAAAGGACAGCTCTCTGTAACAAATTTATTTGTATCAGATGTTTATAGCTTTACATTTCATTCCTCTACCTGCATAGTTCCTGAGATCTTTACAGTTTGGAACTGAAACAGAATGTAACAAACATTTGAAGAAAAAGTATCATGGCTGTGGTCATTTACCAGTTGATCATACCATAGAAAATCAAGTGATTCACATTTATAGCTTTACATTTAGTACCTGTAAGTTATACAGGCCTGTTTTACACTTTGATTCCAAGGAAGTATTGCTAGTTACTACCAGAGCACTTAGTATAGCGTCTGCATGCAAGTATGATGTCTTTTGGATCACCTGTTTAAGTACTGCTTTTATGACAGGCATCAGAGGGATATTCTTTATGAAATCAGTAGGAAAAACCAGAAAGTATATCCCATGTCTCTATGGCCTATCACTACCTTTTCATAGCAGAGCATGGTGTGCTTCTGCTCTACATGTTTTTCTTTCAAGACAGCTATTCAGAAGCCTGAAGAACACAGGATCATGTTCTCACCATTTCTGATATTCAGAGCCTGTAATATGTTTAATGTTGAATACCAAAAAAGGGGAATAACTGAAATCACTAAAAATATTTTCAGATCCTGGCCTGGGAGATCTTTGCTGCATCATCCATTTGGCTTTTCAACAGCTAAGCTGCTATTTGGATAATTCAGGTTCTGAGTTTTCTCCCAGACACAGCTAATGTAATTCTAGTGTCAATGCTGGGCCATATCTGAATATTGTTTAAATGCCCTGGATCATTGGAACAACAGCAGGAATGAAATACAGGCACTCTACTTCAACTCTCTCATATCCTAAATTAGTGGTTCCTGATCTTGTATTTCTTATGGACCACTGTTGTCTTGGTATGGGACTTCTCACATCCTGCAGAGAGCCTGTGTAAGTTAAGACAGACAGGAAGTTGTTGAAGCATTATACAGAATCTTTATAACCCCATTATCTATGACAGTATTTTACCTTGTGTAACCTGAATAGAATTCACAACAAATGAAAAGCATTCAGTGGGTGGCCCTCAGGACCTGTGCTCTAGAAGGCTGAAGATGCACAGCCATTCATGTGTTCTAACAGATACAATGGAGGATATAATAATTTAAGACGTTTTTATTACAACGTAACTTCTCACACAGTTTGCTAATGCAGGGACTACCTGTGCAAGCAGGGTCCTCATTTCCACGGCATTTGCTGTTGAAACTGGCTTAAACAGCAGTTAAGCTGCTACAAGTTCTAGAAAGAGTTTGCTTGAATCATGAGTTCTTAAATGAACAAAAGTCTAGTACTTACTTAGAAGTCTGAGCTTTAAAGTCATATACAGCTCTAGCTGGCAGTTTCTGAAAAGCAGGCAAAGTGATTAATACATTCAGGTAGTATTACTATATGATAAACATGTTTCAACTTTTAAAAAGGTGACCAAGACTCAAAATGAAAAGGATGTGCTTTACAGTAGTTCTTGCAGAAATAGGCAATTAAATATATGGCTTTCATTTTTTTAAGGCAGTTAGCTGTTTGAAACTTAGTTTTCTAAAAACAGAAATAGCAGCTAAATTTTAATACAGACTGCTTTTGAATTTTATGTTTAACAGAACTACCAAAGTAAATAAAAAAGTTAACTACGCCAATGTAACTTGTAGGCAACTAGCTTTTTAGGTACAACGTAAATTCACATACCTAATATTCTGTAGTATTTTAGATGCTTTCTCTGTTAAATTTGTTACCTTTAGGCTAATTTCAATTGCAAATACTGTATCACTTATATATACATATATATGAGAAATTACTCTGACAGCTGGAAATTATTGGGAATATTTTGAATTTCTATAATCACATTCATAGTTTTAAGAAAGTCTGAGAAACACAGGACTGGAGTTGATCTCCTGAGTCATGTGTGCAGCTCTCTTGCTATTACAGGCAATCACGTTATATCACTCCTATCATATATTTATCAAGTTCTATCATGAAGTACATGCAAGCTCAATATTGTTTCAAAAATAAACCTGTTAAACAGTCCTACCTCTCCTCACCTGTGCAGCTGAAACTTAAACTTTCACTGTTTTCAAAGCTCTGCTGAAAACACGAACTGTGATCCGGCCCAACAGCCTCCCTCATCTAGTGTCTGCAGCTGACAAGTAACCATCACCAGATACTTCAGAGGAAGGTGCCAAAAGTGATAAACAGTATCACATGAGGGTATTTGGTGAAATTCTTCAGTGTTTCTCTGCAAGTACTTGCACAGATAAGATTGCTACATTTAAAAAAAATTTCTCTGTAGGATATACTAGTGACTAGCATGAGCTGATTATGCTATTTCTGATAGATGCTACTTGTAAGGATGTAAAGGTGCGCATCTTTTTATGAGAGGAATAAAAAGGGACACTTGTAAATTTTGCATTTTACTTTTACTCCACGTATTCTTGACTGGGTTCTCTCCCTACTTGTAATTTAAAGGCTAGCAAATATAGCATACCTAGAGTATTGTCTTCATTATAACAAAAAAGTCCCTAAAGTTATTGCAGGGGTCCTGTCAATTTGAATTTTGTAATACTAATACAATTTTCCATTACAGGTCTAAGCCTACATTTAAAAGCATTTTCCTGTTACTTGCTGTTGTTAAAAACAGTCTTTTAGACAGAAGGTGATATTCATATCATCTGTAGCTAAGCCCTTTTCACTCTTCCTTGATTTTGGTACAGCTGGTACTGTAACTACTAAAGCAAATAACAGAAGAAAGAGGATAATATTAAAAGAACAGTGGAGCTGATTAAATACAAAATACTTTGCACTTTACAAAACATACTGGAAATAGAGAAGCCTTTCTTTCATCTTTTAAAATTACAGTGATCTTAAAAATCGCTTGTAATTTAAGTATTTTATGTATTTTCAAATTGAAAAATGACTTTCTA